ATTCCTGGAGGCAGGGGTGGAGACTTGGACAATAGATTACTGGATCTGCTAGACCCATGAGCTCCCTTTATCCCTGCCCCCCCCCACCCCCTATGACCCTATTTAAGCCCTGACTAGCTCAACCACCATTTTGCATCGTGCCTCCTGCCTTCTGACTCTCCTCCGGTCACCATGCCATCCCTCCTCAGCTTTCCATTAGGATTGATCTGATTTGTTGAGATTGTTTTTCCACTATCTCTTTACTCTGCTACCCTCCTGGCTCAGTTTCCTAACAGTATTGTATATTCAAGGCTGTAAGTTTTTTTTTTTGGGGGGGGGGACACATAACCACTCACAGTCACTGGCTTTTTAATAAAGACTCTAGATTTGACCTCTCAAAATGTAGCTTCTCTGGATCTCGTGAGTATTCCCATATAACACCTCATAATTGTTTTTCAAAGCTGACTGTCTGATAATCCTCTAAGTCAGATTTTGGAGAGAAATGCACCAACTTGTCTAGCGTGAACAGGTCAGTGCACAGGTCTACCAGCCAAGGGACTAGCTCCCCTAAGTCAGGTGACCAGGATGATTATGTATCTGCTGTCTCAGCTCCTGAGGCTGGAAAGTCTGCACACTGACTAGTTTCCTGTTACACTGTACCCATGGGAGGCAGAGGAGGATGAACACCCGGCAGAATAGAGACTTTCCCTGCACTTAGCTGTAATCATGTGGCAGCTGCTATAGTAGTAGCAAGGGTGGAGTGATTCGGACCACACCTTATAAACGTAGCAATCAGCCTAGCAGATGCTATGAAACACTACTGCAAACATTTTTTTTTAAACAGAGACCCAAACTGATGCCACATCTCTGACGTGTCCAAACACCCATCAAAGAGCACTGACTTTGTCACACAGCGCATCCTTGCCTGTCCTGCATCATGGTAAGCACACAGAAGAAGAGCATAGCTTATATAAAAAAAGTACACTTTCTAGGCTGTGTCCCCCCCCCCCCCGCCATGGAGAGGACTGGTATGGGGGTGACAACCATTCCAAGGCAGGGGTCCAGAATGGTTCCTACTTCTAGAAGCATTGACAACTTGCACAGCCAAAGAAGCAGAGGTGTAATGTTTCAAATGATGACACCTGGAAAATTTGGAGGTTGCCTAAAGTTTTCTTTGGGGACATTTTTAGGCTCATGCTGGCGTGCATCTTTTGCCTTAGTACAGCCTTTTGTCAACTGTATTCCCTTCCTTTAGTCCTCTAGTCCTTCCTTCTCTTTCACTTGCAGTTTTCTTCCCTTGTCATTTAAGCTTTATACATAAAACTCCAACAGAAAAAAGAAAAAAAGGCTTTTTTTGTGTGGCATTCCCTCAGCTCCTGAAAGCAGCAGGTACCTATGCAAAAGCTTCCCTAAGATCTTACACCCAGACCCAGCAGCTGCTAATCCCAGGCTCTCTCTGTCAAAAGCACTAAAATGGGCTTAAGTCAAAAACAAGGCTGGTGGGGGTTCACTTCCTCATCTTGAACTAAAGCTATACTTGCCATACTAAATCCAAAACCAAGTTAGACTTGTTTCTCTCACTGTGAGAAGAAAGACTGTATTGCTGGTAAAGAACACAGCACCAAATGGAGGTGGCCAAGTATAGGTTTCCCTAATCACAAGATAAAGAGCAAACTGAGTTTACCGGCTGTGGTGAAAGCCAGGGGTTGAGGAGGCTTGCAGGGAGCTGTAGCTGTTCACGAAAAGCACACAATTCCTTAGCTGAGAATATAATTTTTTTAGTATCTTTTTTGATCAAGAAGGTAACAATGCTCAACATCCTAAAAGTAATGTCCTTCTATACAAGAATATACAAACTAGATTCTGTCTGTAAGAAATGAGAGGCGAGCAATCGATCCAGGCTCAAGGCTTTATTGGGGGACAGACCTGCCAGGCTGCTACAAGCAGGAATGGAAGCAGCAGCAGTAGACAGGTGTGGGCAGAAATTAAGCAAAATTTTAGGGGGCAATGGCATCGGCAGTCACATGGGTCACATTACATGGATCGTAAGAATTTGTCAGGCAGAGTCAATTCCCAGAAGAAGGTGTTACAGGGACTACAGGAATTGGGGGAAGAGTCACATTCTGAGAAGGAATGTAACAGGAGTTGCAACTGGGGCAGGAATTTGTCCGTCACAAGACAGCATCAGAGAAAATAGAAACTAAACAGACTTTTGTAAACTGGTTGGAGCACAGGGTGGGGACTTAATCAGCAAACTGACTCCAAGACTTTAGATTCCTGTATTTTTTTAAGTATACGTTTAAAAGTGAAAGGCAGAGGGTAGAGGGTCGGCGAGACATTCTCTAGCTGCTTCCTGCTGGTTGGGGGCGTCGGGTTTAAACATGGAAGGATGTGTAGGTATCCTGAGGGCTGTCCTTTTTTAGCACCTGGTATGTTGCCATATAGAGTTCGGTGACCTTCTGGTTGGTGAAGGCTTCCATGCGTTCCTGTAAGAAACTGCTAGCACACTTGAACAGGGTCTAAAAAGAGCCAGGATGAGGGGTAGTAGGGGTCGTGTGAATGGTAGCATCCTTGGGAGGAAAGTCCTCCATATGAAGCTGGACAAAGACTGTGACTGTAGTTGATTATCAATTTTTGGGCCCTGTCTAGTAGTCTCTTGGCTCCCTCCCTCACCAGGCCAGATTTGTTATGATAGAAGCAGCATTGCTCCCCTGGCCAAAGACTGCCTTTTTTTGCAAGGTGAAGGTCTAGCCCTCATCTGTTCTAGAGAACCATACCTGCTACAGATTCCAATTGGTCTTGTACCTTAGTAAATTGTTGGGCAATTTCCCAGAGAGAGTCTTGAAGCTCAATGGAGAGGGTCTTGTAACAGCTAAGAGATGTAGCCAAACCCCTGTGCCCAATCTGATGCCTGCTGTCATCCCCAGTGCTACCTGAAGAGAAACCAGCTGGACAGCTTGTCGGCGACACTGGAGGAGTTGGATTGAGAGAGCCTGTGGATGGGACAGGAAATGAAGCATCTGCGGGAGGCCTAAAAGACTGAGGGTGAAAGATAAACCAGGGTGCAGGTCCCTGTCCAGTTGGTAGGCAAGCATAGGTAGGAGGTTGAGCCGCAAAGGAAAAATGAGCCATCTCCAGGCAAGCACGAGGACATGTGAAAAGAGAACAAATGGAGTAAAGGATAGACACCTTGTCCTGCAGGCTCAGCACTCCACACAGAGAGTGAGGAGGCCAGAGCAATGCCTGGGAGAAGGGTAAGTGAACTGGAGTGGAAGGCAGACTGGAGACACTGATAGCGGAGTACCGAGTTAGTTAACCAAGGGAAAAGACGGTAAGATCTGTCCAATGGCCATGAGCACCTTAGGCCAGGTGCATTAATTTTGGGGGGTCCCGTGAAGCGGACAGGTTGTAAAAACTTGCCATTGGCCTCAGGGGACACAGCATAATCTACTCGGGTGTTTTGATGATCTGAGGGGTGTTCAACAGAAATAGTGTGGTTGCAGAGGTATGGAGGCAAGATTCCTACCAGGGTAGAAAAAGGGGTAGGAGGGGAGGAGAAGCAGAGGGCTGCTGGGGCAAGTAAAGAAGTATTACGGATAATGGGTCCAAAGATGGGGGTAGAATTAAGTTTAAAGTAATGGAGGGAGTTAAGATAGGTGGAATAAAGCGAGGTAACCTGCACTTCCCTGGAAGAGGGGTAGGATTGGAGATAGGTATTAGATTGAATGAAGAAGGGGGAGCCTTTTACCTCAGAATAGGCTAGGCGAATGTGCTGGGTAAGAGAGACATTGAGGGGAACAGGGAGGGCAGAAGAGGAGTGGGACAAACAAAGCCAGCACCCATCCGCATAGGAGGAATTCTGCGATTTGAAAGAAGAGAACGTGAGGTTGAGGGATCTCTCCAGGCCTAGAGACCAGAGGAGGGAGATTGTCCGTTGTTCCCTTGAGAGGGGAAGAAAAGGGGAAGAGAAGAGAACAAGTCTGAGTAAGAGGGTGCTAATTGGCATGGCTGGTGGGCTATTGTGTATCCACGGTGGTTGCTGGCAACCGGCCTGTGGGAGAAGAAGAGACAAGGTTGGAATCACTAGGTGACCTGAAATAGAAAGTAGTATGGAAGAGGAGCATGAAATTCTAAGCTTGGTCGGGGACAGTATGGTAGAAGAGTAGGAGAAAGGTGAGAGAGGTGTAGGGGTCTGAGAAGGGAGTGGTGGCTCGTGGAAGGGCTTACTTAGAGAGAGATGATACCAGGGATTTTACAGCAGTGGGAGTGGTTAGGACCACTATATGGGGACCCTCCCCTTTTGGGTCTAGGGGCTTTGGAGAGCGAGTTTTGAGGAGGACTCTTTCACCTGGATGAATCTTAAAGTCAGTTGGAGTGGGAGGTACAGGTTGGGGTAAGAAGGAATCTGCCTGTTCCTAGAAGAGTTGTCTAAAGAACAGGAAGGTAGGAGGAGGTATGAAGTTAGAGGATTAGGGTCTGAAGGCAGGGCAGAGGTAGAGAGTACAGAAGAGCTGGCATAGGTTAGCTCAAAAGGGCTGAGGCCAGAGGACTGACACTAATACAAGCAAGGTAAGAGCTGAGTCCAGGGTAGATGGAGTTCAGAGGAGAGCTTAGTAAGATAACTTTTAATAACATGAATGACCTTTTCAATCTTGCCAGAAGACATCCCACACTGCAGAGTTTACTTCTGAGGAGGGGAAAGGGGGCTTTATGTCTGGGAGTGAGCCAGGGATGGTATGGGCAAGGAAGAGGGTCATGGGGGAAAGAATGTAAGTGTAGCCTTGAATTTGGACAGAATATCATGGCCCCCACAGGGGCATGTGGCCGTGTGGTATAACTAAAAAGGAATGGGAGAACTGGGAACCTTGGAAAGTACAAAGTAAAGGGAGTGTCCTCCTAGGATGCTAGATGATGCCATCAATGCCCACTGCTGTTACAGAAGCAGGTGCAGTTGTTACCCTGATACTCAGGTAAGGTCGAATAGGTGGCCCTGGTATCTATTACAAAGGAAGTCAGCTTACCTGAGACCAAAATCGTTACCCTGGGTTCTGAATGAGTGATGTCCGTTGGGGCTGAGGACCCTGGGAAGCATCAGTCTTCGTGGGCTAGGCCTAGAAACCCGGGCAGATGAGGGCATGAGGCCATGTATTCAGGCTGGGAAGGGGTTCCCATCCCTCTCTGGGGAACAGAGCTGCCCTCCCTAGAAGGGAGTGGTGACCCACCAATCCTTTGACCAGTGGGGCAGTCAACTTCCCAACAACAGTGAGGGCATGGCCCAAGGAGGAGGTCTAGGGTTGGGACAGGTTCTAATCCAATGTCCAGGATGAGAACATTTAAAGCAGGGCCCCAAGGGCCTGGCTTGGACACCCTTCCAAAACCCTGCAAGGCATTAACCAAAAACTGATATTTGGCTTGGTCTTGTTGACACCGATTTCATTTTTCCTGTTCCTCCCGGTTATCAAACACATAGAAGGCAATATTGAGGAGTTCCCATTGAAGGGGTGTTGGGGCCATCCTGGAGCTTTTTGAATTATTTCCAGATATCCTGGAAGGAGTGAGAAATAAAATGAGAATGGAGGAGAGCATTGCCTACTGGACTGGCTGGGTCAATGTGGGTGAAGCGGTGGAGGGTGTCTGCCAGATGGCGTAAAATTCACTGGGAGGGAGTCTCATGGGGACACTGAATTACCTCTCTCAATTTGTCACTGCTGACAGACCTGTGGGCAGTCTTGTCAAGGTTGTGGAGGAGGTAGAGGACCATGTCATCCCTAAGAGTCTCTTGGGGTGGGTGATCAGGCTGGTAATCCCACCCTGGGTCAGAGCAAGGGGCAGCTTCCTGACCAACAGGGTTTTGATTATTTGGGGCATGTGTTCCCTGGCGCTGTGCCTCCACAGCTCCTGATCTTCAAGGGTAAGGGTAGAAGTATCCTAAAGAGCATCTCACGGTGAGGCATGCAGAAGTCTGAAATGGCTGGCAGAGAAGGGTAAAGGTTACTCACTCCAAGGAGGTTCAGGAGGAGGGATCATCCAAACCCAGACCACTCCTCCTGGGTTTCCGCACCAGGATGTAAGAAATGAGAGGTGAGTGAAGGATCAGGGCTCATGGCTTTATTGGGGGACAGACCTGCCAGGCTGCTCCAAGCAGGAATGGAGGCAGCAGAAATGGACAGGTGTGGGCAGAATTTGTTTGTTTTTTTTGTTTGTTTTGGTGGTTGTGGGACTTGAACTCTGGGCCTGGGCACTGTCCCTCAGCTCTTCAGCTCAAGGTGAGCACTCTACCACTTGAGCTACAGCACCACTTCCGGTTTTCTAGTGGTTTATTGGAGATAGGAGTCTCACGGTCTCTCCTGCCCGGGCTGGCTTTGAACCGCGATCCTCAGATCTCAGCCTCCTGAGTAGCTAGGATTACAGGCATGAGCCACCGGCGCCTGGCTGGTGTGGGCGGAATTTAAACAAAATGTTAGGGCACAGTTACATGGGCCACATGGGCAATCACATGGGTCACATTATGTGGATCAGGGGAATTTGGAGGGGAGAGACAGCTCTGAGAAGAAGGTGTTACCTGGGCTACGGGAAATGGGGGAAGAGTTACATTCTGAGGAGTGTAAAAAGACCCGTTGCAGCTGAGGCAGGGATTTGTACATCACACCAGGAAAATACAGTATGAGGAAAATAGAAGCTTAACAGCCTTTTTGTAAACAGGTGGGGATACAGGGAAGGAACTTAATGGGCAAGCTGACTCCAAGACCTTAGACTCTCCACTCTTGGTAGAGATGATGTATCTCTACAACAGTCAATGCAAGCTAAAACAAAACTGTAAATGGTATTATGTTGTCTGTGGGTTCATTCACATGTGTACAGCAACGAAGTAGACAAAGTTACCAAGCCAAGGGACCTTCTAGCACCCAGTTTTGGGAAAGTGTCCCAGTGGGGCTGTTGCTGGAATGTGGGCTGGAGGCAGACTATATCTGAATGGATAGCGGGAAACCCACAGGCATTTTAAAATGACAACACAGAAGGGGTAGTAACAGATATCATGACTTTACATAGCTTCTAGAAGGCATTGCCCACTGGTCCAAAGTTGATGTCAGTCCCCCGATCTTTGTATATCTGATTAATGCCTATTTGGTGTGTGACTAGTTCATATAAACAGCAGGGTTTCCCCTCCCTTGGGATCAGAACTTCTTTCTGGCACTAGTTTGGTTTGGGTCATTGGTAATAAACTCCTTATCCTCTCTAAAAAGTGGTCATGGTCTTTGCTGATCTGCATTACCATAACAGTAAATATATATACACATATACATATATATATATATGTATATATATTCTGCCCACAAGTCTGTCAACAGTGACAATATATGAGATATATATGGGATATATATATATATATATATATATACATATATATGTATATATATATATATATATCCCATATATGGGATCCAGGCATAGTGGAGCATGTCTGTAATCCCAGCTACTTGCGAGGCAGTGGTAGAAGGATTGAAAGTTTTAGATCCTCTATGTACATTGACTCAATGTTTAAGAACTGCAAGGAAGTTGCTAAGTGTGTAGGGGGAAAAAGTAAAAAATACATAAATAAAAATAAAAAATAGAGGTACCTGTAAATTTTATTTATTTAATAAAAGAGAAGGAAAGACCTAAAGATTTTGTGGAAAACTGTTTACCTTCTATAGCTCTCTCTAGATGGTGTGGATGTAGGTACGTATTACTTTCTATTTCTGTTTCATGACAGTAGCAATTACAGAATGAGAAAGGAGAGTGGTATAATGGATTTCTCCAAGTCATGCTCTTCCTTTAGGCCCTGGCAGATGAGATGGACCGAAGAAGCTATGAAATCATTCTCTTAAATGTACTAGAAAAAAAAAAGAAAAAGAGACACACATCTGTTTACAAAATTACTTAGGAATGATCCCATCTATCCTTCACTCAGAGTAGTGAAAATGCTTTCTAAAGCCCAAATTTGATCATATCCCCATACACAGAACCCTCTAGGGCTTTCCACTACTGCCTTTATGACATAGTTAATGAACATAGCTCTGTGGCTCTCTCTCGCTCTTGGCCTTACTCCTTTAACCTCAATGTTGCAGTCCAAGGACCCCTTTCTTTGACTCCTGGGCCTGGAGCATACTGTACCACTCAGTCCATCTTGTATGATGCTGTCTTCCTTTAGTCATTCTTGACCCAGCCTCTGGCTCCCTATACTCATTCATCAGATCTGAGATTAGACCAGTCTCTAAGAAACAGTCCCTGCCTCACCAAATCTAAGTTGGGCATCCATCCTCTGTGCTTACCATGCCACAACTCTCAACACAATGGAAACTATCTACTCATCTCTGTCCTCAGAATGAGCTCCACATTAGCAGAGACTTTATTTGGTCCTGCATGCTGAGCATATGGCATTACATGTCAGATGCCTGCAGTAAATGTGTCCATGATTGGGAGAAAAGATGAGTGAGTGGATGAATAAATTAATCTAGAAATGGGACTAATCAGCTTTCCTTATCACTTCTACTCCAGCATGAAGACAATAGTAATCTGTTTATTTTCTGATGACCGTAAAAATCTTAGTGAAAGTCTTTTAACCAATTTATGGATTTCTTAAAATGGTCACTTTTTAACTTATTAAGTAAATTCAGTAGGCCAGCCTAAAATATTCACAGAAGGGAAAGGATTGTTCAAAACTGGTAGAGACTGAAAGAGAGAATAAAATTATACAAATGAATTATATCACACTCCCAATAATTGTTTTATTGATTCCTTCAAGTAGGATAATAAGGTATCAGGACCAACCTCAGAGTTAATGAAAGTTCAAAAGAGGTAATGTGAGTCATTAGCCCACCAAGGTAAAATGGCAATGACAGCAAGCCTCTCATATCTCATTAGAATGTGGACTAAAAGGAAGAGAGGACTTTCAAAGAACTAGGGGAAATTCTAGGCCCTGGAGAGACAAAGATAAAGAAGGCACAGTTCTTGTCTTAAATATGTCTAATGGTTTAGAGGAGGAGGTTTAGGCACACAGTTTCCTCTCTACCACATAGTCACAGTGAAAAACTTAAAGTATTATCTTAAGTGCTTGTTGAATTATGAGATTACTCAAAGACAGATACTTAAAAGCCCTGTGTCACGATCTAAGGTTTCATAGGCCAAGCTCCCCAACCCCCCACCCGCAACTAAGTTTCTTGGCACTCACTCCAGAGCTCTTTTTATTGGACCTTCATGCTTATAGCATCAATAAAATGGTAAATGAGAACTACCATGAATAAATACCACTGACTGCTATGGGAATAGTAGGAAACTCAAGGGGAGGCCAGAAGAAAAATCTAGAAAAGCCAGAGACCTACAGCAAGGATGACAATCAGAGCAGCAAAGGTTTAATAAGGCCCAAACAACGTATTGTGTGATCATTTTTTAAATGTAGACAATGAACTGTACCAGGGAGAAGACGATAAAAGAGGAATGATCATTTTTGTAATGTGCCTAGCACTCTGAACTTTCAAAACCTCTCATACAGGCACTGGTGGCTCACATCTGTAATCCTAGCTACTCAGGAGGTTGAAATATGAGGATCATGGTTCAGTCCAGCCCAGACAAGGAAGTCTGTGAGGTTCTTATCTCCATTAACAGTAGAGTTGTGGCTCAAGTGGTAGAGTGCTAGCCTGGGTGGGAAAAAAGCTTGGAAACAGTGTTCAGGCCCTGTGTTCAAGCCCCAGGATCAGCACTAAAAAAACTTTTTTAATGCAATATGTGATTAGAGCATTCAGGCACACAATAATTTTGCTAGGAAAAGCGATAGTTTCTTTGCAAAAATGATCAAATTGCTTCCTTTTGGAAACTGGGAGAAAAAGACATATATTGGTATCAACCGTTCTTTTTCCAAATTCTAGTCTAGCTTCCTAAAGATCATACCCTGAAGATTACATAGGTGTTTTCATACATTCTATGTACCCATTAGAGTCAGTCACCACCTGTAAAGTGATCTCGTTAAAATGCAAGTTGTAATTTTGCAGGATCTATCTCCTTAAACTGCAGTAAGACCTACCTAAACAGCTTTATCACCCGTCCACTGAAATTGAGATACTTTTTCATAAAG